AAGCCTTACAACAACGATCGGCTCCTTCACCTCATCAAATCCCATCAATCCCTCTCCCATTCGCCTCAGCAATCCATGTCTGTCAATCGGCAAGCTCATCCCACCGCTCAGACCCCTATCGGCGTCCAATCACCCGCCCGCACTCCCTTTGCTCGACCCCTCTCCCAAGCTCAAAATCGTCCGATCGGCGATCTACCCAGGCCACCGTCACAGGCTGGTATAGCCTCCAACAACCAACAGGCCCACTCGCCCTTCCCATCAGGTGCTAGTCAGAACGGGACCCCTCAGAGCGCCTTCAAGTCTCTGCCGATCAATAACCTCACTCCAGCTCAACAGGCTGCCCGATTGCCCGGCCAAACACCCAACTCTGACCCAAAACGTGACGAGCTGAATTCGATCGCCGAAGCGCAGGCTCAACAACAGCGATCGATGTACCCCTTCGAAGCTCAGACTCATCCGATCCAACTGAGTGCAATGCAACGTCAAGTTCTGTCACACCAGCAGCAGCAGTTCAGCCAGCTCAGCCGGGAACAATTTGCTCAACTCCAGGCAACCCATCCCGCCCAAGCCGCACTATTGATTGCCCAACAACAGAACCTTGCCCGAGTCAAGGCGCAGGCCGAATCACAAAACCTTTCCGAAGCCAATACCCGACTATTACTTGAATCTCAACAAAAGGATTTCTGGCAACATAACCAACGCTTGTTCCTCCCCCCCGGACAAGCCCATGATGACCCAACTCACCAACAAGCATTTGGTAATCAAAATCCGCAAGCCTTGCACCAACAACGTCTCCAGATGGCTCAGATCCAACAGCTCCAAGAGAGTACCGCCCTCCAACATCAGGCCCTCCAGGCGGCTCAAAACCACCACAGCCTTAAGGCTAACAACCTCACCTCTCCCTCTCCCCTTCCTTCCCAGTTACAGCAACAAAGACATCTCGCCCTTCAGCAGCAGCAACAACACGCTCAACGCCAACAACACCTTCTTGCCCAACAGGCCCAAGCTCAGCAACAGATTCAAGCCCAACAACTGCCTCAACAACAACACCAGCAACACCAGCAACATCAACAAGCGCAACACCAAGCCCAGCAACCCCACCAACAGCAGCAGCAGCAGCAACAGCAACAACAGCAACAGCAGCAACAGCAGCAACAGCAACAACAGCAACAGCAGCAACAACAGCAGCAACAACAACAACAACAGCAACAGCAGCAACAGCAACAGCATCAACAACAACAGCAGCAGCAACAAGCCCAGCAGCAAGCCCAGCAGCAGCAGCAGCAGCAACAACAACAACAACAGCAGCAGCAGCAGCAGGCACAGATCCAACAGCAACAATTAGCGCAACAGCAGCATGCACAGATCCAACAACGAGAGCAACAAGCACAGCAACAGGCACAACAACAACAACAGTTACAGCAACAACAACAGCAGCAGCAGCAACTCCAACTAAAACAGAAGCAAAAGCAAAAGCAACAAGAACAAGACGAGAGTCAACAGGAGAAACGTAAACTAGCCGACCAGCAAGAGCAACACCTCTTTGCGCTTCGTCAACGACAACAAAAAGAGACGTCGAGCCATGAGAATCCGCTTGGATCGACAATCAACGAGGCCGGTGGAGTTAATAATGGGTCGCCTAACGGTCGCAATGACACCTTTGTCCCTCCTCCTCCCCCCTCATCCTCTGCGGTTCCTGGACCTGGCGGACCTCGGTCACACGTCGAGTCGGTCGGATCTACTCAGACTGCTACCACTAATGGAAAAAAAGAAGCCGACAAAAGCTTCCCTGGTCATCCTTCTGCCACCCCAACAAATACCAACCCCAATACCAATACAACAAACATGAATGCTCCCGATCCATCATCTGCGTCGCATCCCCATTCGAATGGGGATTCGTCACTCGTAGTAGACCATTGGTCTCATCCTTCCACCGTCCCACCGCCGCATCCTCCTCAGTCTCTTGTCCCCGCCCATCTCGCCCCTGGTCCCTCGCATCCTTCATCCTTCCCAATTCCTTCTTCGTCTTCTTCCATCGGAGCAGTGCCGGGCAATACACCACCACCAGCTACTGCTGCTCTTGGTGGGAATGGATTCGGGTCCGGCTTGTTGAGGCTGCTCAAGTTCTTCGACTCGTTGGCTCAAGTCGCCAAGGTTCGCCCCTGTCCCTCTCTTTATGCGTGTTATATACAGCTGTGTTGATTTTTTTTTTGGTGTGGGTTTTTTTTGTATGTACAGCATGAGGATTCGTTGTCGTTTCTGCAACAATTGGTGGCCGAATATTTCATCGAATCCGCGGTTTTTAAAATCTCGCTATGGGATTCGAATTCGGGGACCAACAAACCATTTGGTTTGTTTCTTTTTTCTGTTTCTTTAACCATTATATATATAGCCTGATGTGGTGAATGTTTTTTTTTTTGAGGATACAGAGATTCCAATCGGCTCATTGGCGCGATTTTTGAATGAGTTTTTTGAAGCAGGAGCGCGGACAATGACGATGAGCATACCACAAGGAGTAGAGATGTTACTAGTAGTGCCCTTGGTACACCAACAAGCAGAGACACTAGTGCGGACAACGGTGGGGACGAAGCACATCGGGTATGGGATTGAGAGTGAAGCGAGTGTTTGGGGAGTGGAGTACGGGACGGGGGTGAAGGTAGAGATGACGGGGAAGCTGAGTGCGAACATGTACAAGTGTGGGGGCTTAGGTGGGCCGACGAGTGGGACGGAGCAACAAGGGCTGGAGGTGTTGAAGATGGACTCGCTGGAGTTCATTGCCTGTTCGCATGTCGAATGGATCAGTCGTCGCGCCGTCACTAGGGAGACCATCGACCGGCTCGTCACCAAGTCCGACCCCGACCTCCTTCCCGCCACTTCCGACCTGCTCTCCTCCCTCCTCCCCATCCCTTCCCCCCCAACTCCCGTCCAAGCTAAGGCCGCTCTTAAAGGTCGTCGCCAATCAGCCGCTGCCGCTCGCAAAAAATCCGTCGCTGCTGCTGCTGCCGCCGCCGCTGCCGCTGAGGAAGAACGCGCCAAAAACGAGGCTCTCATCTCGGCTGATAAACTCGCGTTTAGGACCGTCAAGACCGAGGCGTTGTCGCTCCCTATCAGTCCTGTTGGGCCCTTCGGAATCCCCGACAAATCCATGCGTTGTTTAGAGGTCCGTCTATCTTCTTCCTTTTTGTTATTTGACTTGACTTGGGATATGTGGTCTGACTTGTTTTTGTTTTTGTTGTTGTGGTGGTGGGGGTGGTGATATTTACAGTTGATTGAAGGTGTTGCTCAGTTGGCACCCTTGATGGGCTTTTCAGTCGAGAATAATTTGCCTCCGTTAGGTAAGAGAGATCAGACTCACTTTTCTGAGAGAGACGATGTGCTGATGTGTTTGGGGGTGATTGGGATGACAGCCTCGTTACAAGAGTTTACGGACCAATTCCATCGACGGACGATGTCGATGGGCGGCGGGTCGATAGAGGGCGGCGGAGTGGGAGCTCCGATGAGTCGAGGAGGAGTAGCAGCAGGAGGAGGAGTTGGAGTTGCAGGGGGAGTTCAAAAGGGGGCCGAGGAGGGGAACAGTCCGACGACCACCCATTCGCCCCGTAAACGCTCCGCCACTTATGCCAACGGCGGCCCTGGATCGGCCGGGTCCACCGGCGAACCCGAGCCCGACGATTCCACTTCTACTACGACTGCTGCTACGACTGCTGGTCCTAAGACGGCTAACAATTGCGGCGCCTCCTCCGCTGGGTACTTCCTCGCCGGTCGCAATAATAATGACGCCTTGCCGCCCATCGTGCCTCCCTCTTCCTCTTCTACCAATCCTTCGAATAACAATAACAACCCTACCAATCCTTCTACTAATAATAATAATAACACCTCCTCTTCGTCTACTACTACGACTAATAATAATAATCAAAATCAAAATCAACCATCTAACTCGGATGAATCTTCGACTCTTCATCTCTTGCCCAACAACCCTTCTTCTTCGACCGATCCAACGTCTTCTGGTTCAGCTTCTGCTTCGAAACCGCCGGCCGGCTCGTCGTCCTCCTCGTCGCCTCCACCGCTCCCTTCTCACACCTCTCTGCTCGAAAACCTGACCAAAAATCCGTACCCCCATCTCGGCTCGACTCCGCAGACCCAAGCGAATCATACTCTGCATCACCAAAATGGACTTGTCGGCAATCTGGTTTCGTTGGCTTCTTCGAATTCCAATTCTAATTCCAATTCTAATTCTAATTCGGGGTCTAATCATCTGAAGAGGAGAGCTAGTTCGAGCGACTCCCTCGATCTCCTCGCGCTCATCCCGAGGTCTAACTCCTCCTCGCCTCCTGCTCAACATCCCGGCGCGGCTATCTCCTCCGGCCCTGCTGCTGCTGCTGCTTCTTCTTCTAGAGTCGTGAGGGCTAGACTCGGGAGTAAAAGTAATAGCACTTAATCCTTCTTTCTTTTTGTTTTATCATCTAATCGTCGCTCTCGGTTGTCCCGCTCTTCTCCCCCCCCCCCCCCTCTTCTTCTTCCTCTCTCTCTCTTCTCTTCTTTTTTTCTCTTCATCATCAACTAAAAATATTGGCTCTGGGATTCTTCCTTCCTTCCCTTTTTTCTGTATCCTTTTCTCCTTTTTCTCTCTTTTGTGTTTTTTTTTTTTTTTGGTTTTCTAGATGGATTTTTTCTTTTTTTGACTCTATTTTTTTTTTTTGGTTGGGGTTGATTGAAATTGAAGAGTGATGATCGATTATTACCTTTCTTTCCGTGTTCTTTTGGGAGGACTTAAAAGCTTGATCCTCTTGCTTTTCTTTTATTACTATTGTTAATATATTGGGTCATTTATATATATATATAGAAAGAGAGAGAGAAGTCTTCTTTTTTTGGCTTGGCTTGGGTCGGTGTGTCCTTGATTTTTGTGGCCGGGCTCGTAATCATATATATGTGTGTGCGGATCCTCTTCCAAATCCTTTCTTCTCTGTCTCTCTCTATCTATCCCGGTCGTTCACAAATTATAAGTAATATTAGTAGTAATAAGTTGCAGTGTCTCCTTTCTTCTTTCTCCTTCTCCTTTCTTTCTTTACTTTTCTTTTCTTTCGAGTTACTTTTTTTTTTTCTTTTTTCAAGCGTTTTTTCTTGTTGCATCAGCCTAGTGACAAACAAGATGCAGAAATAAAAAAGAATGTCGAAAAGACGGATGATTTTTTGTGGGATTGTTTTTGGAGTGTTTTTTTTTTTTTTTTTTTTTTGGGATGGTGAATCAGTAACTTTGTGGGGCAAGAGAGAAAGAGAGAGAGACGGTCAGATGGGGGGAGGGATCGAGATGGCCCTGGCACCGCGATGACATCAATGCTCGGATCGAGGCCTACCATCAACTCTCTGCTTATGGTCAATCCGCTTATATCGAACTAGTTATATCGTGGCCATCATAACTCTGAAGGAGGCTACCAGATCAAACCTGTCCAAACTATCATCGTCAACATCATCATCCCCGGAGCAGTCGAGGTTCTTTACGGCGGCTATGATTCTATAGAGGCGGCAGTCATCCTCCTAATCGTAATCATCATCATTACCCTACCACCACCACCACCAGCTGGGTTGGTGGTGGTCGACCAGGTTAAGTATCAAAATAATAAGACTTTCATTAGGCCGGTTCACGTCTGGAGTTCAAGGCAACTTTTAGCACTTTTATGGTTAAAATTTTATGAATTTTGTCAAATCTCATGAATCATCAGGTTTGGAAGAATTTGATATTTTTGACAAATTTGGAAAATTTCAATGATAAATGCTATAAAACTTGCTCCAAAGTTCAGACGTGAACTGTCCTATTGGCAGCTTTACTAAATATTGTTCATAAACCTAGGAGAAATGCTAACTTAACTAAGTCCCTCCTGGCAGTTGATCTGATGGCTCCTCCTGCAGAGGGTCCCTTCGGGACGGTGTCCCCCCTCCCACAGAGGGACTTGGTTAAGTTAGGGAGAAATGCGTCCCTGGTGGAATGAATAGGCCCGATTAATTAATAGTGGGTTGATCATTACGGAGGTTACGTTTTTTCTGTTGCTGTTTACATATTGCCTGTGATCTGGTCAAGCTTCATTGTATGTTTGTTTTGATCTGGCTCTTGTTGCTCTTCAATCTCTTTCCTCCATTTTGTATACATACTGTTATTGAAACTTGATCAAAAAAAAACCCCTCCTCCCCTGTTCCGCAAGACTGAATCGTCCCACATGATAATCCATTGGAAACATGACAACAAAAAAAAGAAAGAAAGAAAAAATTGTAAGTGCATACTCACCCTTTGGGATTGTCAGGCCTTGTCCATGTTCCAACTGATGAGATCAACTGGGACCAGTAGTGAGATGGTGGAAAGGATGATTCATTACTTCAGTGATGATTGATCATGAAAGAGAAAGAAAGAGAAAAACAGAAAGAAAAGAAACAGAAGATGAAGAAATGACTTACCTGGGACCAGTAGTGAGATGGTGGAAAGGATGAGGAAAGAGATCCTTCCACGAGCTCACTGCTGACCCAGGTGTACAACATGAACTGTAACATAGATGTGACAGGTGTGTAGCATACAAAAGAAAAGAGAGTGAAATGGAACATGACAACTCAACACCAACTTTGCCGCTTGGCTGGCGGATGGGTGCACCTTGGAGGTGATGAGTTGCCGGAACAAGGACCCGCTTGCTGGGCTGGATTCCACCTGGCCGGCGGCTTTTACCTGCTAGCCAAGGAATCTTCCTCCTTGGTGATCACCTTCTACAGGTTCACCAAGGGTCTGAGGGAGCTGGAGAAATCCCTGATGGAAGAAAGCAGGTGAAGAGGTGTACAGTTGTACTTCTTTGCCAGCCAGCGCATGTACCTCCTCGGTGATCCTTTATATGCTTGCTGAGGAATATTCCTCCTCAGCCGGCAGTTACACGGTGTAGTAGTACCCATTCACCCAGCAGGCCCTGTCCTCGGTGAGCAGGATGTTCAAGTAATATCAGAGGAGAGCTCCTCCCCAGCGAGTAGGCAATGGCCATGGAGGAGTCCGTCTCGGCAACAGGTGTTTGCCACGGACTAGTTCTCCCAGATTGACCCTTAAAATTCCCAAAAGCATCCATTTCATTTCAAAGTATGGGTGCTTGGGTCAATCTTTAGTCAACACGACTATCATGTAGGACGTTTCAATTCCCGCCCTGTTCCTACATACATGCCCAACTCGCTCACTCGCAGCAACCAACTGATCACGGTCAATCTGCACTTTGGTGTGAAGATCTTGCTGTATAAAACTTCACTGTCCCTCCCCCTTCACTCCAATCTAATTTTTCATACCCTGGTTCATCTTTCTCGCTGTTCTTCTCTAGTCGTTTAGTACTGCTCATAGTAAGAACCTTGAAAATCATACTGGTAATCGAATTCTTTCGATCTCTTTCTTCCGTCCTTCCTTTCTTCTTTCATTGATTGTTTCTTTTCCGGCTCTGTTTTTAGCACTCAATTCTTACTTCATCAGGCCCCACAATCACAAGTCGGTGCACACACATATCATATCGCCATGGTTCCTCGGAAAATCTACCTGTCATTCAAGAATGCAGTCTTTGCCGTTGAAACAAAAGAGCTCTTGATCGTTCGCGAGCTCGCGCAGGCAGCAAGAAAAGAATGCCCGGATGATTTACGTGGTATAAACATCTCGCAGGTCACCCTGCATACCAATGAGGACGCTGATGAGCTCACTTCACACTCACGCCTTGCAAAACACACTGCACAGCTCCTCCGTTGTTGCGTTCCAGAGACTCCTCTCATAGTGAAAGGTGAGCCTCCATCCCATCCGCGTCCGAGCTCTTGTGCCACCAATACTGAGCTCAAGCTCTTGCTGTGCTCTTATCCCTCTTCCTGCTTGCTTATTGAACATTTTGTTTGTTACATGTAGTAAAACCAAAAGTGGCCTTAAAGACTCCTCTCATAGTGAAAGGTAAGCCTCCATCCTGTTCGTGTCCAAACTCTTGTACCAGCAATGGCAAGCTAAAGCTCTTCCTGTACTCCCTCTTCCTGTCTGATTGTTCCACATTTTGTCACATTGTTTGCAGAAGAACTGGACCTTGCACGTTTCTGGAAGGCTCTACCAGATGCCAGGTTGGTTACTGAGAGTGAGATGGAATATTTGCAGCTAAAAGAATCCTATGTTCTTGAAGACCGAGCCCTTGGCGACCGCTTCCTCGTGCGCCCGATTTACAAAGAGATCACCAAGCTTTTCGAGCATCAGGGCTTTACCAAATGGGTCGTCACCGGTACTCCTGGGATTGGAAAAACCGTCTTTTCTGCTTACTACATGTGGATAGGGGAGTGATAATCACACTCCACCCCCCTTCGCACACACACTCCAACACTCCCTTCTCTGAAGGGAGTGTGGGACCGCACTCCAATTGAAATTGGAGTGCGGGTCCGCACTCCAACCCTCTGCGCGGGCATTCCCCCAGCAGGTTGGTGTGCTGGTCCGCACGCCAATTTCGATTGGCGTGCGATGCTGCACGCCAGCCGTTAAGCGAGGTTGCCTTGCTTGCAGGCAGGCGTGCAGCCAGCGATTCCATATGCCTCGACCTAAACCCATATTCATATGGGTTTAGGTTGAGGCATATCCCATATCAGGATGTAAACGGGTCGGGTTCGGGCCCAAAAACAGTGCCCAAACCCGACCCGACACCTATGTCGGGTTGGGTCGGGGTCGGGTCAAACTTGAATATGTGCTGCCCAGACCCGAACCCGTCTTGGGACTTTTCGGGTTCGGGTTGGCAGTTTGCATGCCGGGTTCGGGCCGACCCGACTGTTTTAGCCTTTGTAGAGCAACTCTGACAAAAACTGACCTGCCCGACTATCAAAACACCTGCCCGAACCCGACCCGCTAAGCTTCCGGGTCGGGTTCGGGTCATGTGATTTTCTCACAAAGTCTGCCCAAACCCGACCCATGACCCGTCGGGTCTCGGGTCGGCTTCGGGTCGACCCGACCCATTTACACCCTGAATCCCATAGGACCCAGGGATGGGTCCTATGGAGAGATGGTCTGACCGGTTCAAACCTTAAACCGACATGGGTTCAAGGTTTGAACCCTGACGGCCATCGGCCAAGGTTCAAACCTTGGCCGATGGCCTTGAAGATCCCTGTAGGACCCAGGCCTGGGTCCTACAGGGATTCGCTTTGTTTGAACCCTGACGGCCCATAGTCCAGCTCATCGGGA